AGTTATTCTAACCATGGTTAAGTCTCCACTAACCTCTGAATAATTTGCTAAGAGATGTAGCAAATGAGAAGGTACTAATGAGTGCAGACGCTGGTGTAAGAAGAGAGTAGTAAGAGCAAAGTAAAATTCATCAGAACAGGTGTTGAGATATGAAAGAACTGAAGGGGACAGGTATGAACTTGACAAAGAGACAAGTAGAAGTGGGTATCTTGGCAGACAGATAAGAAGCATTCACACAAAAACATGGGTATTCTGGGTATAAATACTGGTCCTGCAAGATTTGTTTCTTTATAGCAACCTACGGGAGGTTGTTAATGCATGAAGTTGCTACCATTGTCCTGGGACATTTCACTGAGTTGATCTGACAAAGAGACCAGCTAGCATACTGTCTCAGTGATAATAAACCTCTTCAGTTTTTGCCATGGAATACACATTTGAATCATTCTTTCTTTGTCGCACCTGGATTCCACGTGGCTGCTTGCTTGCACCAGCATTCCCGGAGCACACAAGCCCTGGCAGCCTAAACACTGACAGCGAGCAAGAGACCACCCAAACACATGCCTCGGAACAACAGTGAGGTTCCAATGCAAATGAGTACATGCACTTTTTTATCCAAGTATCAGAAATACATTGCCACTTCCACATGACACTTGGAATCAGACATTATACCCCATGTTGCTGTTGCTCACCTGAATAAGAATTAAAGCTAATTTAATTCTCAGTTGGAGTGCCCACACAGGGGTCTGATGAATGCAGTTTAGAATCATACCTTCAATTAATTCAGATCATCTTTCCTGAGTGCCCTTATGTAGACACTCCTTAAGACACTGTTGAATAGTTTCAGACTACACAGAGCAAACTACATTTTATATAACAGATTTTAAATTAACTGAAATCAAGCTAATAACTAATATGAAAACTAAATTATAGTATAATTCAGTTAATCTTTGTAGAGAACATTTCATAAAAAAGCATCAGAGAGCTTCAAAGACAATATTTGAAGGAAAAAGGTATGCTAGGATCTTTTTTAAATACCATGAGCATCTATGGAATATTCTTGAACCACAGCAATTTCCTTAATTGAATAGTGATTAGGTATGTCATGGGTGTGGAAGGAGATTAATAAAACTGGATTAATGTTATTCAGTTTACTTATGACCCTGCATAGATGTCATATTGTAATCAGTTGGCAATCTTTTTCTATCAGACTGAGCTCTCATTTCCTTGCTGAGATTGCACCAATCATCAAGTGTTAACCCAGTGCACCCCAAGGACATTCTTACACAATTCACTATAATGCATTTGCAGAGGGTGAGTGTTTTGAAGGGGAGAAGGCAGATTTTGTTTTTGAAAATTCTCTTCCAAAGCCCACAAAATGGGAAAGTTATGACTTCCAAGAGAATAACATTATTTGTTACTGTGGGTATTGTAACTGTGGCTACCAGTTTCAATAAACATCAGGACCTGACCCTGCTGAACACTGTACAAACTTATATAGAAAGACAGGGTCTGGAGCTTAGAATCCTAAAACTACTTCCAAGTGGAGAACCAATGTTTGGAAGCTAAACCAAATATAAATTAGAAACAAAACACAATCTTTTCATGTAAAAAAAAAGCTGTGTATGATTCACCATTGGAAAAAGCCATGGTATGTGGTGAACTCTCCATCTCTTGAGGGTTTCAAATCCAAAGGTGATGTCCTTCTAAATGACAGACAAGTTAGGCTTCAGTTAAACAGTGGCCCTTTGGTGAAATGTAATTGCCTATGAGAGCTGGATAGCTAATCACCGGAATAGATTACCTAGAGTGCTTGTAAAATCTCCATTATTTGAAGTGCAGATAAGACTTTTTTTTTGGGGGGGAGGATGCTTTGGGCAAGGAGTTGGGCTAGACCTCATTGACCTCCTGAGGTCCTTTCCAGTCGTATTTTATCATGCATGATTCTATATAAGAGATTGGATTAAATGATATAATGGTCCCTTATAGTTATAGCCTATAAAGGGACTCCATGAATTGTGCAGCACTGCTCAGCATGACCAGTGCAAAACAGAGTGTGGAATTAGTGAGAATAAAGAGACTGAAAGAATGAGAAAGTAAAGGTAAGTGTAAGGGCCTTGTTGCACCTTATGTAATAAGCCAAATAAATATTAATCTGCTTAGTGTTGTTCAGCTTAGTAGAGTAGTCACACCTTAAGGCACAAAATCATCTCTGCCTGTCCTTCATCTGCACAGCTAGGACTTGTCCCTAGAGGCTTGGTGAGCAGGGGCAGGACTAGGAGCTCGGAGGCAGAACCAACTCACTGCCTGAATTCCGAGGAACCCAATTGTTTTTTTTCTCCAGAGCCCACCCTCCCTTGTGCTGTCCTTGCTTGAGCTGCTAGCTGGCCAGGCACCACTTGAGCTCCTAAAAGAACTGAGCCCCTTGGAGCTCAGGCAGTGTGCAGCCAACCAGCAACTCAGCTGGCAATAGCACTGGGGAGCAAACTACGAAAAACAAAAGGATCAGGCCCCTTGGAGCTCAGGTAGTTCCCAACTGGCTGGCAGCACAGTTGGCAGTAGCACAGGAGTCAAGATCCAGAGAAAAGAAGGATCAGGCCCCTCAGAGCTCAGGCAGTTTCTGGCTGGCAGCCACACCTCAATGCCATCACCACCAGCCAGGCTGCCAGCTGGCCATGAGTAACTTGAGCTTCAAGTGACCTGATCCATTTTTTCTCTGGAGCTCGCTCCCTTGACACCACCACCAACAGGAGCAGTGAACTGGTCTAAATAGCAGTGGAAGGTACCACCTTGTGTGGCTGCTCAGACGAGCTTGCTCTGCCCGGCAGGAGCAGAGTCAGTCTGAGTAGTGGCAGGAGGCACCACCGCTGCCAGGCCATCAGGGAAGCAGCACTTGTTTTGCCTGATGTGCCTGTGGGGCAAGGTACCACGCCCAGTCCTGCTGCACTGCAGCATCCCCACTTGCCCTGACTCAGAAGGGACCACTGCATCCTGGGATGCTGGAGTGGCCACACCTTAATGCAACAAGAGCAAAATTAGGCAGATTAGAGATACTCCTGTCTGGAGTGGTGTAACTTTAAAATGACTAATGAGTGCTTTTAAAGGGTATTAACATGCAGCCAATGCAAGGGTTAAAAGCTCCAGAAGCCACATACAATTACCGTATAACAAGGTCCTAAGAGATATATAAACTAAGTGAATTAGAGACTTCAGAGTCTGAGAGTTGGTCTGGCTTTGAAATATAGTAAGTATGCAGAAGATGGTCATATAACACTCACAGACCATCTGCCTGGCAATTATCGTTAGGCAGTTTACTAGAGCTATCAATCACCATCCTGTTCTGTCATCACCACCATCAAATATTACAAAGTAGCATATTTATATAGTAAAAGTTGTATAGTAAAATTTTACCATCCTCCAAAGATTGACCTTTGTTTTCATTCAGCACTGACCATTTTACCAAAGTCACTCTAAAAAAGGTTCCAAGAAAGAAAGACCACACTGGCAGTGGTTTATGATTTGGCGTAGGTTTAATTGGCTGCTTTGACACCTTTTGGGAAAAGAGCTGTGATGTAATCAAACTTCATGACAAACTGAAAAATCAAAGTTAAACTCAGAATATATATATATATATATATTTATCCTTGAGACAACTCTTGCAATTTAGGTTAAATAGCATATTTACTATATGTGCAGCATATCAAACAAGTTCCAAACCAACTAGTGCTGCACAGTATCCTCCTAGATCTTCCAAAACAGCAGGAGGTAAGATGCAAGAGTTAGTCTAGGGGAAAAATGTTCACTTGTTTTAACCAGTGGGTATTCAGACTGCGTAACCCACAATCAAAGAAGAAATCATAAACTAGGAAAGCAGAAAATTGTGTGTAAGAAAACGACAGGAGAAATACAAATGGTAGATAGATGCAAGACTCAAATGTTTTCCATCAAATTTTGCATAGTTGAAAAGTTGGCTAGGAAGATCTTACAGTGTGAATGAAAGAAGAAGAACAGTAACAAAAGATAGAACTAACCATATAACTATTGTATAAATTATATGAGTGATAAATGATATATATCTTCAGAAAAATTCATATTTCTGCAGTTTATGGCATAATAATGTAAATTACTAGTTTATTCTAAGCAAAATGATGCAATTTGAAGTGGTAATATCTCATAATAATACTATAGCTTAGAAAAAGGACACAATTATGAATTTACTCTACAGATGCTACAGATGCATCAGACTTATTGTACAGTAGGGTATTTATTATGTAATTATGCAGTTATATTATCTGGTCTGTTTTTCTTCTGTGCAGTTACAGAAAGAGAAACTACCTCTTCACATTGGCTCCTGAAAATAGCTAAATACCATTATGAGTTAGCTCTTTGAAGGCAATTGCTAAACAATCTTAAAGATTCAAATAGCAGAATTACTACCTAAAAATCAAAGACAACACTGCTCTAGAGGATATGTTTTGTATAACACTTTGCGTTTTAGTGGTACCAACATCTCTCTCAAAATATGTTTTTCATTTGGCGGTTTCAAAATTTGTTTAGTATTTTACCACCAGTAACATACACAGATTTTAAATTATTATATATGAATATTATTTCTTGAATCACCTCTGATTATATTTCAAATGTAGACCAAAAATATTGTACTAAAATATATGAAACTCAATTGATTATGTTATCTACATTTTGAGTGTACAATACAAAGGAAAAAAACCCCTGATTTTCCTCCTCAAAATATTTTAAAATTAAAATAGCTGTCTTCTATAATTTCTTTGCATTTATCCCCTCCTTTATCATGAAACACTAGACACTGATAAAGCAAAAATTCAAATTTAAAATAGAACTTGTTTAATGGGATATGAAACTCCTCTCTGCTTTGAAAATAAGAGCTTTCAATACACACAGAGTATACAGTAGGGGCCTATACATGTGTGGATGTTTTAATGTTCATTTTACTTGTTCCAAATATGAGGAAAACATTAACTGACCTGTTTTCGATTGCAGGTTTCTTCTTGGTTCCTCAGGGCCTTCAATTGGTTGATCAGCAAGGAAAACTCGTGCCTGGTCTACAGCATTCAGAATGGTTTGCTCTTTATCCTTCAATTCACGCCTAAGTGCCTTTTGCAAAGGAAAACAAAAGTTTCATTTGTAACCTAATGTTGTGTACAACAGACAACGTAGCATCCTCTTCATTGTCACCCTTCTCCCCAGACTATCTAGTGAGTGACTAACAGCCAATGTTTAATTCAGGCTGCAAGTGAAAATGTAAATTTTGCACAAGAAAGACAAAAGGAAATTAATTTTGATTGAGACGTGATTTTGCAGAGCTAAGTTAAATGTGCGAGTACAAGAAAAATTATGATAATGGGCTTAAAATATTCACCTAAGTAAAATTATTATATTTGAACTGACACAAAAACATACTTTAAACCTTTCATTACTCCCGGCAGGATTGCTAGCATATAACAGAATGCTTTAACAGACTTTTTTCTTTTGTTAATAGAATGACAAAAAAAATTACAACCAATGGAATAGCAGAAGATAATTTCACAACTGGCAATGAGACCTGCAAGAGCATTTTGCATTCGTTAGAATATGTTAAGTAAAAATATAGAAAATTAAGAAGCGAAAACAAATCAAACTACATGGTATCAAAACTCAACTGAACAGAACAGATGGAAGACAGTCTCCAATTAGCCCAAGATATTTTCAGCCTGTTACACCAAGGCAATTACAATGTTTCTCCAAGAGGTTTTTCATGCAAATATTATTAAATCTCCATTTTTTTCTCTAGCATTTGTTCTGTATTTAAGAAGGGTTAAAATGTAACTTTTTGCTCAAAAAGATTTTGTGTTTAGGAGCAGCCAATTCTGATACGCCTTTCTACATCACATTTTGCTCCATATAAAACGTTATAACTTTGAAAACTATCACTGCCAGAGAAAAATACTTTGCTTGAAATACTTGCATTTACTACTATCACTGAACATCCAAAATAGCATAATGTTAAGGCTGCATTGTATAAGTTCCGCTTTAAAATGATTTCTGGGCCATCTTTTTTAATATCTCTAATCAAAACTCTAAATATTAATTTTACTAATCTAGTCCACCCATTCCTCACCAAGCCAGAACCCTCAAACCTTTCAGTACGCAGGAAAATACTAATCTTGTTGCCTATTCTCTTCAGAGCGACTGGTTATCATTTTTTGGTAACTTGTGGAAGTCAAGTGAGGTCCCAGATGACTGGAAAAGGGCAAATATAATGCCCATCTTCAAGAAAGGGAAGGAGGATCCAGAAAATTACGTATTAGTCAGTTTGGTATGTATACCTAGAAACATTATGCAGCAGGTCATCAAGGAACTAAGTATCTGGGAGAGAACAAGGTGATCAGGAACAGCTGGCATGGATTCACAAGAACAAGTCATGCAGAGAGTGACAACAATTATTAGGGCTAGGGACAGAAATTATACATAAACCGGTGTATAAGTGATCAGAAACTGGTTCAAATCTGTAGCACAAAGATGAGTGCACATAAACCATTTTCAAAATGGCCAACACTGGTTTAAGATAAACCTGGATGGACGTAGTATCAGACCTAACTGACTTAGGCTAAATGCGGTTATTGAACTTCTATTCCAGATCCCCTCAGATTCAAGTCGACTCACACTGCCCCTGCATCCCAACATGCTTTGCACCTCCCACTCAACCTCAACCTTCCCTGGGGCAGACAGCTCAAGCTGTCTGCCCCAGCCCAGCAGGGAGGTGTGCTCTAATGCCTCCCCCCCGCCCCCCGGCTTCTGGCCTGATCCAACGCAGGCATGTGGCTGCATTTCTGTATCAAAAATGAATGTCCGTTTACTTGCTTATCGGTTCAATTGACACAGCTTACACTAACCTGTAAAGACTGAATCGATTAAGCCTTAGGCTTTTTGACTGTCTGTAGGCTAAAAGAACTGGGATTATTTAGTCTGGAGAAAAAAAAAAACTGAGGGGGATTTGATAACAATCTTCAAATACCTGAAGAGTGATTATAGAGGACAGAGACAAACTATTCTCTGTTGCCCCAATGAACATAACAAGGAGCAATGGTTTTAAACTGCAACAGGGGAAATTTAAGTTGGATATTAGGAACAACGTTCTCTTTCTGAGGGTGGTTAAACATTGGAACAGGCTATGCAGAGAGGTTATGAAACCTCTATCCTTCTTTTTTTTAAAGTTTTTAAAAGCAGGTTAGATAAATACTTGACTGTTCAGTCAGGGATGATTCTGCCTTGAGCAAGTAGTTTGTCTACATCACCTCCTGAGGCCCTGTTCCAACCTTATTCTTCTATGATTCTAGTTCTCATGTCCTTGCACACACGAGAGCAAAGTGTTCCTTTTAGAACACAAATGGTCATTACAAAGAACTCCAAGGAGAACATTGTGCATGCTATTAAATATCTCCTGCACAGTTAACATTATGGAACAAGTGATAAAGTGTAAAAGCTCAGTAGGGGTTTGGCCCTTGCAGGACTGCTCATTTAAGTGCATGCATTGGTAGGATCAGGTTCTAAATTTAATTAAGTCCTCAAATTAAGCCTGTTCCAAATTGAGGGTTAGGGTTTTACACCGAAGGGCATTTTTATATGAAGCAGTTATATATACCGGAGACATTAGTTCAAAAGTCTGAAAGACTATTAAAGCTAGATAACCTTTCATTGATTTTCTGTCTCGTTTACTTTCTAATTTCTTACTAGAACATGGAGAGACCACAAGTACATTTTAGAAACTGAGGTACAGGGGAATACTCCTTTCTTAATTCTTACGTTATGTCTTTTATACTAGCAAAGTCTCAAAAATCCAAAATATTTTCTCTAGGTAAGTCTAGCCTGCAACAGAAATGTTCACTCGCAGAAAAAATAAAAGCACTCTTTTATTCCGCTTGCTGTATCCCACATCAATTACACTCAAGTATTTGTTTTTTAAGTTGGTGTGGGCATGCAAGATCATGTGGCAACTAAAGGCAGACAATCTGTCTTATTAATTTTAAACTAAACTGCACAAAATTTTACAATATTAATGACAAGTTCTAAATTATAGATATTTAAAAGTACCCAGCTCTAATTTATAGAGTTCTTTTTCTCTAGTTCTATCTCAAGTCTGCACCAGTCTGGCTTTCTGCCTTTAATATCTATTATACCTGCTCTTGCCAAAGGTTCCATAAACAACTCTCAGAGCTTGTATGTCACCTTCTTTGATACCTTCAGCCAAGCTCATCTAAAATTTTTGTTCTCCCGGGGCTTTGTTGCTCTGTTCTTTTTCTCCATTCTGTCTTCAATAATATATTTGGGGGTTATATTCTCCATCAGTTTTTGATAAGTCACACAAAGCTCTGGCCTTCATACTTTCATATCACCAGGTATCATATTCTAATAGCAATTATTTCTTCACATTCATGCTCTGCAAATTTACCAGACCTACTTCCATCCATCCAAATCCATGCCTCTATCTTTCTGAAACCTACTCTTGCCTAGTCACCAAACTAAACTCCATTTGGTAATAACTTGACCTCCGATTTTCCACCCTTCCTCCCCCCCAGCTGGACCCAACCTCTGGAGATCATCTAATTCAACCTCCTACCTGAGGCAGGATCATCCCTATCCAAACCATGCCATACAAGTCCTTGTCTAACCTATTACAAACACTACACAATCAACCCTATCATACAGCTTAACTCACTACAAGTAAATCAGGGAGACAACTGCTGCAAGAGTTGTAAAAATAGGCTCAAGAGATCTATGGAAAAGAGCCACACTCCCCTGCTATAGAGGAAGTCAAAATGGCCCATAGTCCACACCAATCAGACCACGTGGAAAAACTCCTTCCTGATCTCCCATGCTGATCAGTCTAAACCCTGAGCAAAGAAGCAAGACCCTATTGCTATGAACCTCCAGAGTTTAGTCCCAGCAGAAGCATTGGCACACCCTAGTAAAAATCCATTCCCCTCCCAATACATAGGTACAGGAGGGAAAAAAAATAAAAATTCCTTCCCAGCCCCATGTGGCAACTGGCAAAGCCCAGAAGCATGGGCAATACCGGTCGTATAGCATAGGCATAGCTACTCCTCGGTCATTCCTGACAAATGCTTGTTCAACCTCTTCTTGAACACTTCTAGTGATGGAGATTCCACAACTTCCTCAGGCAGTCTATTTCACTGTTTCATTGCTCTCACATAATTTACAGACTGTCATGGCTACACTACAACTTCACTCCTATACTACTTAATAATAATCATAATAAGCACATATATACAATGATTATATATGCAAATAATTGTGTGTGCTCTGTTTTGCCATTGCTATCTTTAACAAAGACTCTGAGCGTAAAATTTAAGAAGAAATTCACGTCTCTTAAATCAAGTAACATGCCCCAGTCAGCATCTGTATTTAAAATTCATGCACAATACAGACCAGAATAAGGCTCTTAGGATAATGTTCATATCTTACCAATCCTAAAAGTACACTTTACCAATTCACAGCTGAAGTGGAAGACAGGAGTACAGGATCACTAACATATGCACACTGTAGTTTAGATTTTGGGATCCTTGGGTATAAATCTCTACTTTCAAAATGTTTGTGGTCTGATTTACCATCAACATTTTCAGGATGATTTTGTTGAGAAAATAAAAACAATAAAAACCCCAGATATTTTATTTTGTTCCCAACTGAAAGAGATTCTGTCAACATGAACTCAAAATTAATGCAGATTTTAAGCTGATTTCCCTGGGGCCTTCTCCACCCTTGAATGTTTCAGAAGTATTTCTTCAGTGCAAGGTGCTCATGTGAGGCTGGAGTCTGTGCAAAAGTCCCATCAAAGCTCTGAAACTGTACATGGATGGCTTTTCCTTCCTCTTTCTATCTTCCTTCAGACAGCAACTTACGAAGCTCCCTCATCATTACTCTAATTCACACCATGTAGAACTCTCATTTTTATTCTTTCCATTTCATTCTTCTCCTTGTAAATGTTTGAACTGAGGCTGCCTTTAAATAAACTTTAATTATTTTTATCAAGAAAATGAGAAACACATAGGCTTTATGTATTCACAGTCTATTTCCTTAATTTCACATCACTGATGGAG